GTTATTACAATTAAAATTAGTTTTGTATTAAGGAAATGGTGGGTTTTATGCTGGGTTAATAGAAAATCAATTTCTTACTTAGTCGCCGTTTTTTTAATTTTATTGTCTTCTTCAGGACTCTGTACTCTGTCCTCAACATAAGTTTCAATGTATAATAACGCATTTGTGTAAGATAAAAGTGATTACAGGAAATCAAAAAAAGAAAATTAACCCAATAGAAATTATTTATTGCCAGAAGAAAGAAAAAATGAAACAAGTGACAATCAAGAATTAAAGCTAACAAAGGCAAAAAGCAACTAAGACTATAATCACAAAACATATAAATAATAAATCATGTAAATTCATAGTCGATGGTAGGTTAGAAGTTTTCAGAAAACCGAAAAGAGATTCTTGTTTGAAATTTGGGTATGTACTTGGATTTTCTAATTTCTTCTGATTATTTTTGCTAACATTTTCCCATACCTTATTATGCAGTTCAGGTTTTATAATTTTTTTTTTCTCCAAAATATGATACTACTCAGACTTTAATTTAGATGTCAGAAAGCAGAATTTTGGATGCAGTTTGCGAAGAACCATTACCTACCTAGATAAATTTATACCATAGTCCAAAGGCCCTTAATGGCTTGATACAGTACAATTGTAAGTATGTATTATCGACAGGGAGACAAAACTCATAATAGAAGATCAAAAACCAGTAGCTACTACCGTCTAAAAAACTATTGTTTTTAATTAATTTTAAATTGAAAAATCCTACACATTAATACCACAGACAGGGTGCCATAAAATTATAAATGAAATTCAACCAGACCAACGTAAATAGTTCACTCATTCGTGTATAATATGCATACGTAGGCCCCCATTCGTCACGACTATCTTTCCTGGACGATATATATATATATATATATATATATATATATATATATATATATATATATATATATATATATATATATATATATATATATATATATATATATATATATATATATATATATATATATATATGATGACACTATATTCCGGGATATCATCCGTTCGCTCGTTGAACTCCGACTGGAATCCTGCATCCGACTGGAATCCTGCAAATCCTGCATCCGACCGGAATCCTGCACGAGTGTTCGAAGTGTTTTCGGAGCGCGAGCGTTGAAGATGCCAAGTGAGATTTTGGCGAAGCGTCTGCAGGATTCCGGTCGGATGCAGGATTTGCAGGATTCCAGTCGGATGCAGGATTCCAGTCGGAGTTCAACGAGCGAACGGATGATATCCCGGAATATAGTGTCATCACATTTTTCCATCCGTGAATATTCTTCTGATATATATATATATATATATATATATATATATATATATATATATATATATATATATATATATATATATGGGTCACTTTTGCGCGATATGCACATACGGGCAACACCGCAAATAAGACCCACGCCACAACGGCGTTTGACGTCCAGATGAGGAATTAGTCGTTCGTCCGTTAGAACGGAAAAGGAGGCAGGAAATGTTAGAAACCCCTTTGATCCTTATAATTTAGCGTAACGTGCATGTACGACGATCTTTAATGACGTGCACTTGTGGTACGCACACTTACGATCTAGAACGCTGTCCGACTTAAATAAGTTTAACAACCAAGCCGATACAACGAAAGGTATATATTAAAAATAATTTCTATGTAATCTTTATATAGGCATGAGCTAACATTATGTTATTGCTATTTTGATATCGATGGCTCGTAATAGTAAATGATAAAGCCGATGAGACCATTGTATCATTCATTATATACCTCATCTTTTACTTGTTGCAGTTTCATTTGATTTCCATGTTAGTAATTAATCAGATTCGCTTTAATTATCACCGAGAGAGCTGCACATAAATGATAAATAAGCCCCTCTAGGATTACATTCCCTCTGGCCTAAATGGGATTTGAACAGATTCAAGAAAGACATAAATTATAAATAGAACATCGGCATGCTTATTATGTTCAATATCGATTCCAAAATTACACAAAAAAAAACATTGAATTGAATGTGAGTGAAAACATATTCAGATTGGGTTTTAGGTTAGAGCAGCAAAGGGAAGAAAAATTCATCTTCGGATCTGATGAAACCCTCCTTTGCTATAAAATAAGTAGAACCAATGAATGAAAAAGAGAAACGCTACTAAGTAATGCGGGCCATAACAGACATAACGGTTTATTGATTGGTTGGTTTTCAGGTTGTATCTCCTTATTTCATAGCATTCTAAGGTTTCACGAGAAGGGCATCACCAGAACTCAGAACTTTGACATATGAAAGATGAATCTTCAGTCGCCTTGCCACGGGCTAGTCGGAGAAAATTTAGGAGCACTTGTATTCCGACAATATTTTATTTCATGTTTTACGCCATATCAGAAATTCTTAATGTGAATATGTGGTTATAAAGTCAATGAAATTTAAAATTATTCTTAACTAAAAAAATAATTTAGTTGTCGACTATCATCAATTTTTTTTCCAAAATATGTTAGTTGTGTTGTTGCAGAAATGATGAATCACATATTATTAAAAATAAATATCTCTGCGATTTTGATTTGGGTGTGGCTGAATTTGTATAGTTTTTTGAAACCATGTTTCTTCGAGAATAGGCCATCTGTTTTACTTTACGCAAATGTTTATTGGGAACCCGCTTGTTCGACAGTTCATATGTGAACCTTCCAACCCAATAATCTTTCCGAGAATTGGAGGAAAAATCGTGCCGAATATTACAAAGCTAAACAGAAAGGTCTCTCGCTCTCACACTCGTTTCAGCATACCGCCCAGGCCCGCTCACTTATCTCACAAAATAATTAACAGTCCCATTGCGATTAAACTGAATAATTAAACGTGCCATACCATCAGCGAAAGCATAAAGAATTTCGCCCCAATTCAACGGATTATTTACGATTCCCGGGTATGCCCATATATACGCGAAATATCAATCCGCCTATATTATCATATCGAGCAAGCATTTAACCAATAATTGCGCTTCGATCAAAATTCGAGCCCGCATTTGGATTTTCGACTCCGCAGAGAATTAATTAATACGCAGCCGTGAAATAATTAAACAGTTTTTAAAGTTCCCCGCGCGGTAACGTGGGCAAACAACACGGAAAACCTATTTGGCAATCGGAAAACATTCCGTCGCTCTATTTAAATGACGCGACTCTGGCAAATCCACAGGCAGCGGAGCGGAAGGTGGCGAAAAGTCTAAAATCGATGATACACAAATGATAACCATTGTCTCTACGCGGTCTACGCGGTCTTAACACCGCAGTAACAATACAATAATTGCCATAAGTAGATGTTTATTGTAGATCCTGCAGCTTGAGTACCTGGTGAAGACAATAGAGGGACATTTTTTCGAAGAAACTTCCACAGGCTACTGTAATTCAGCCATCGTCAACATCAGTAAAACGAACAAACTCTTCTAAACTACCAAACACTGTAGTAATTGTATCACCGCATCATCTTTCTAATACGAATGAATAAGTTCTTGCGAAAAGTTCGAAGCCCGTCTTTGCCACGCGTATTATCCCACAAGAGGAATTTATTTCAAATGTCGAGTCTATTCTAAACAAACCGCTATAAAAAAATCCACAACCGACGCAGAAGAAAATCAAACGATTTGCGAATAGTTGCGAAAGTTTCTTTAAACAATTAACAAACCTCTATCGAGAGGACATAAAGCAAAAAATCAGCAGTTAGAAGATCACAGACTGCAACTGGTAAGATTGCTCTGTACACTGATCTTTTTATGTCGTTGTAAAATATCATATCATAACCTCGTCTGCTAATAAAATTCTTGGTAAAGCTAGCTTTGCTTTCCCCGTAAAGAAATAGACAAAATCAATAAAGCTTTTCCGTTTCTACATCTTGAAATTGCTTCCATCTTGTCCCCATACGAGTTCGATACCTTTTTAAACATGAATCATGACAAAGGTAAAATTCTTCGTTCACAGGGTCTCATTAAAAAATTTGAAAAACTAAGCCATCGCACGCTTCTCAACTACCAAACACTGTGGTAAGTTTATCATGTCACCAACTTTCTGAGACCGAAAAATTAGTTCTTGTAAAAGATTTCTACTTCGTTCTTGCCTGAAAAATCCCGAAGATTCGTAACTACAATAGAAGAATTTAAGATAGGCTCGAAGTACATAAATTATTAACAATTAGAAACTAATAGACATCTGTTACTATATACTTAATGATATTATCATCCAAAATCAAATAATCTTTTATCGAAAAGTGAGCGACTCCTGTATATCATTTGTAGGTGTCCTTGTGAGTATCATCAGCACACGTGTATATTGAAAACCAACACATACTAGAGAATATTTGACGTCTAACAGTTCTAGGGCAATGAAAACATCGTGTTTCTTTCAGTGTAGAGGTCGAAACCAGACCCGAAACGTAGAATAAAAAAGAGTGCATTCCATATTGAAAAGTCCAAACGTCCTCTAAATGTACAACTGGGAGAACAAAAAGAAACTCAAATTGAGATCTTGGATAGTAGAGTAAATTTGTACATAGGGAACCCCTCTAAAAAACCTTAACGAAGCATAGCACACAGTGACAATGTTTTTAGCAATTCAGGCGTAGAAATGCAAAACATTGATGAAAAATATTTTATTTCATTTAAGAAATCAGAAATAAATTGGAACCAATATAAAACATTTTTTATTTTAGGTATTCTTCGAGTAGTGGGGTAGGTCGATTCCAATTTACAGGCGGGGCTCTTGGTGGATAGTGACAAAAAATTCTGTTGTTCTATACTGAGTGGAAGCTCGGAATTGTTTCGATAGGACCGCTACCGGAAATATTGATTCAAGAAAATAATGACCATATATTTATTTCCCAGTTATCTTTCTCTTCGTTCGAGCAATAACCTCAAACTAACACCAAATTACCTGAATCTGGAACTTTTGCCATGTTTTAATCTCGGTTTTAATATGCTCCGTCACATTATGCGAGAATGCAACTTACCTCTTTTCGAGTACGGTCTTTCCAACGCGTCCATTTTTTCAACCCCGGTCGGTAATAGTCGATTAGGTACTGCTCGGCGTACTCTTGACCTTGGCCATTGCCGTAACGACCTTGGGTCATGACGCCGGTCACCACGTGGACATCGCCCAGGTCGATTTCGAGGAACTCCCTCGCGTCTCTTGACACCATGTTACGGGGACACCACGCCCCACCTTGCCTGTTGTTCCGTAATCTGAAAGTGATGACCATGCTTGAATTTTTTACATTTTCCAATATTTTCTAGCTATAAACCAAACACGTTGTGAAACTCTAATTATTTCTGAATTAACAAAATCAAATTGAAGTTTTTAAAGTCACCCCAGTGACTTTGTGTCTAATTATATTCTCCTGCATCGCACTTCTTAAGAAAACTGTTTGAAACGGAGAAGAAAAGGTTCACACCTTAAATACTTGAGGTGGACGTAGTACAGTGAAGGGTGAGGCTTGATAGTTCGACAGATGACCGAATAAATGAATTAGGAAGTGTTTTCCTTTGATAGAAGAACTCTGGTGTTAGTTTAACCTGGTCGATATTTTTCTTTAGTGCATTCTTCACCACAGCAGCATGCTATGCTGTAAAAACACCTGCTGTCTGGAGACGAATATATTGAAGTTACCACACGTAAACAAAATTGGCGAGTGAAATAAAACATTTGTCCTAGGTGTAGGGGGATGAAATGTATACCTAAAATTGTGGGGACGCAAAATTTTACTTCGCTTAAAAGTCACTCAGAGTTCACCGTACCATGCAAAAGACCATACAGAAATTTTAAAGAATTAATGTCCCCCCTAACCTCCAGAGATGATGATTCCCCAACACTGCCTTCTAGTACCTGATGGTCAAATATATGGGGATATATATCACCTTCCTTAAAAAGTAAGTATTTGCTTCAACTCCAAGCTATCAATACGATATATTTGACGTCACACCAATAACCCGTATTAGTAGTATACCATAGCACAGAGTTCTAGTATACTCATTGCTTAATATGAGGTATAAAAATAAGTCTGGAATCGAACACAATCCCCAAGACCTTAACTTCACTCAATCGATTCAATACAGTTTTATTAAATAAACTTGTGTTCAACTTTCTATAGTAAGTAAGCACGTTACACTTAGAAACATTTAAATATAACCGATTAACCAAACCAGACACCATTATGTTATGACATTAATATTATCCTGAAGCAACAAGCAATGTTCGTTGGAATAAATCGTGCGATAGATCGACTTACCAATCAGATGATGAATAAGGGTGACAAAAAAAGAAGTCCTAAATTTGACCTTTGTGGTACCCCCGACATGGGATGAAATACTAGCGAGCAAAATCCCTCGTATTGAACAATATGTCAACGATCTAATAGGCAGGATTTCAGCAAGTTTCAGTGAATTTTCATTTTGAAAATCCATACCATCCACTACATCCGCCTCACCTAAATCGTCAAAGAGTATTATTGCTTTCTAGATCGATAGTGAACTTGCTTTTATATTATATGGAATTTATGTGAATAGCATCGATCAGTGTAAGTGGGTTAATTTTGGTTGTCAGTTAGTCATAATGTCTAGAAAGTGTTGTTTTTTAGATCGTTAGTGAACTTTATGGTTTTAACAAAGGATTGAAGAGATGAGCTCAGAAAACAAATCTCATCTACATATCTTTTCCGTAGTTTCGGTTCTAGATGAAACATATCGAAGGTTTTTTTTTGGACTTTTCTATGCAGTTACAATTTTTTTTTCCTTAGATGTTTGCCAACTGCCGCCCATTCGTTCGAGGTATCGATTCGATCCGACTAATTAGTTAATGTAAGAAGCTGATAATAATTTATCAAATTAAAAAGCTTTTTGTGTGGGACCCGTGCTTTTGGTGCCACTTTCTTTTTGTTTCCTAAGGATGTTCCATATTATTCGGTTCGTTCCGGTGTCCATTTATTCATCACGCGCTTTTATTTTATTTTTTCCTGCGTCGCAGGATAAAATTTAATTTCGCGTCAAAATAAACCCGGCCATTTATTGTAAATCGAAGGGATAAAAGTAATTTGCGAAAATGTTTGGCGCAAACATCCGGCAGTAGCGGGACTAGTCCACATTTCGGCTTTTTATTCAATTAATTCGGGTAGTTTTTTTTATGACCGGCGATGCGCAAATTAAAAAGAGCGAGTGTTACGAATTTGGAATCCAGGACGTCAGGGTATTTTTTGAATTTCGATAACTAATTTCCAGAAAAGGAATCGCAACATGCATTCTTTCTTCACCAAGCTAATTCAATTTAACCCGGTAATACACGAGCCAAAAAACTTAGATCGTTGCACGCGCACCGTCTATTCGACCGCATTCCCAATTTTAAGTTATTCTCTGGTCATGGTCATCGATAGATTAGATAGACTAATCAAAGGCACCAACCCATTGAGCAATGGTGACATCCAAATCCTTGAAGGTTAACCCCAACAAGACTGAGATGGTGCTCTTCACAAAGAGGAGAAAGTTCACGGTTGTACCTACTTGTATATTCAACACAGAATTAAGTTTCTCCAGAGAAGTGCGTTACCTAGGAGTCACTCTGGATAGCAAACTCAACTGGAACAGTTCAGAAGGCTACTGCCACCTTCTGGGCTTGTAGAAGAATGTTTGGACGAACGTGAGGCCTAAGACCCCGTATGGTCAAATGGATATATACTGCCACAAACCACTTACGCTTCGATCGTTTGGTGGATAGCCTTGAACAGGCAAACCAACATCAAGGCATTAAATAGAGTCTATAGACATGCGATGCTGGATATAACAGGGGCTATGAAAACTAAGCCCACCCTGGCTATGAGAGTTATACTAATTGTTAAGCCTTTATCTCTATATGCTAAAGCCTCGGCGGAAAAAACTGCCATGAGGCTCCACTTTAATGGCTTTTGGAGGAAGGCGGTTTATGGACATACAGACATACTTAGGAACAAAGATCTGGAGCAGGTTCAGACCCTGGGTGATGATCGTAGCTTCAAAACCAACTTCAGAGTAATCTTCCCAAATAGACGGGATTGGTCAGAGAACTCCTCAAGCTTCCTGAAACCGAAGGGGCTCATCTGGTATACAGACGGGTCCCAAACACAGAAAGGAACAGGAACAGCATACTAGTGAAATGGACCAAGACATATTGTAGGCATAAAATGCAGGAACAAACACATAAATATCTGTTGCGATAGCCGTGCAGGTCTCAGGTCGCTCATGTTAGTCGAAATCACCTCAAGGATGATCCGAGATTGCTAGACAGGCTTGCTAATGCAAATTACGTTACACTCGTCTGGGTCCCAAGACACTGTGCAATCCCAGGAAACGAGAGGTTAGCAAAAAGTGGAGCTTGTCACACCAGTACACTACCTATCTGTGCTACCCCAGTACCCGACAGCTTCATTAATTTCATTTGGGTATGAGACTCAATAAAGCCCTCTTTCAGGGACCGCCTAGGACTCTTGCTTCCAGCTTTATCGGGCTCAACAGGAATCAGCTGAGGCTGACTATTGGGCTGATAACTGGACGCTGGTCAACAAGAAAGCATCTTAGGAACATTGGCATCATACAAAATATATTATGTCCAAGATGCAACGCAGCAGATGAAACTCCTCTGCATGTACTTGTCGACTGTGAACCACTCAGCGAACTCCGAAAGGAAATTTTGGGAGTGGACATAGGAAATAGTATCAACATTCCGGAAATGGGTGTTGGAAGGCTGATTCGCTATGCCTCGGCAGTCTACACTACCTCCTAACCGCCCGGCTCAAATGAATTCAATCAATCAATCATCAAAAGAAAAATAAACAAAATGAATTTAAATTAAACTACATCACTAAAAAATTGAACTCTATTTTTTAGATTCTGGACACAATTGGGTTGTGTGCTCTCTGCATATGTACTTTTAGCACTGTACACAATGCGTCTTTGTTTTTCTCTTTTTTTCTTCGTCGAACAATAGTGGCATCTCCCTGGAACACCATATTGGCTAGTTCCCGCCGGCTCTTCTACAGTATCCGATATTTCTTTTAGGCGATTCTTCATTATGACTGTTAACATTGGCGTTTCTCTGCGACTCCCAAGTTGGGGGTGATAAGGTTCGTGGCTAAAGTTTTCAAAAAGTATCGACGGATTATATAAGTGATGTTGTTTTCGAAGTAAAAAATAATGTAAGAGGAAATGGACAACTTTTTCGAATACTTTCCTTTTAGTACGTCAATATTGTAAAAAAATTGTAAAAAGTAATCAGGCTTGGCTTACAGGTATCGCCACTTTCTGGATCGATCTCATCTGTAGAATGCATTGTTGATAATAAAGTAACTATTTTGTTTTGTTTGAGCTTGTAGAACACCAAAGTCATATCTTCTGTAAAGCCAAAAATGCTTGAATTAACCTTACGCTCCCTTATCTTTGCAGAAAAAATGGCAGGAATATCTCTTTTGTTTTTCGAATTGTTCCACCGTAGTGAGCCTGTGTTTTTTCAGTAAATCTATGGCCAAAGGAGTTGTTGTAAAGCAGTTTTCAAACGTAACATTTCTTCCCGTTCCGGAAATCGATTGAACTAATCTTTGAACGACTGCGGAGGCACTATTATCAATTTTATAGGGTCCGTCTGGTTGAGTCCCAACATACACCTCCAAATTATAGGTGTGTTCGGTATATGTTGACGAAATCGACATCTGCCGCGAAATGACTCAACCATTTCATTTATTGTTACAAGTTCGCTTACAGCATTATGGACTTTGCATCGCTCAACAAATCCATCAAAAAACTGCCTGATAGGAGCAAATTTATCGTATTTTTTTCATTCTTTTCTATTATCAAGGTCGTCAAAATGAAGGGCCCTCAGCAAAAATTGAAACCGATACAGTGCAGTAAAGATGCCATGACCGCAAGACTCCAACGAAATAAGTGCTTTAATTTCATCCATATCTGTATTAGTGGCATCCCTTTCCCTACTATAATTTGCTCTAAGCTTCTGAATGTATTTGTTTGTGTGTTCAACTATTTTTTCTAGGACAAAATAGGGAAAATACAATTGCCAAGCTTCTAGAATAGTTTTTGTTTGTGGATTCCTCCTGCGTCGGTTTTTGGTGAGTCGAACTTGCTAACGTTTCTGAATTCTGACGGTCATGTTAGTGAATGTATTCGTTTTTTTTTGTGCAAATGTACCCAAAAACTAACGGTGGTAGAAA